TCCTGTAAAACAAATGACAGACGTTGAAGCTGTCAGCTTGAACCCAAGCAACATAAGACAAAGCACAAGTCTTTTTTAACTTATCAGCCTAAAAACATACCTGACAGGGAGAGATCCTTGGATTACCGGAGCCCCCGTTGTCTTTTTCTGAAGTTTCACTCTTATGTGGATCCAGCGAGGGATGGATACCTAACACATTAGCTGTCATCTAAACAGAGACCACGGTTGGTGCCCGTTAGTAACGTTGTGGTCAACAGCTGTGTGTTCTGCCAGCATTATCCAGCCTCACTTGTGCAGGTGTGTAAGTTGCTCCTGCAGTTATGTTCTCGGGGTTTACAGACAGAGGTTTCAGCTGATCCAGAGGGATCCCTTTCATGATCTGGTCCTTCATCTCATTATAGTCTGCCTCCAGTTTTTGCAGAACACCTGACATGTTTGCTGGAGGAGACACTGACCTGAATGAGAGGAATGAGAGGAAAGGCTTTGGCTGCAGCTTGTATTAAATGTTAAGGGGGTAGATATACTTAATGTATATCTACCTCCTAAAGGTACAATGTACAAAAATGGGTGCAGACAATGTATTAATACTGTATTTTCCAGACTACTCGTTCTGGAGTACAAGTCACACCAGCCAGGTACACAAGCCTAGAGTGCCCTCTAGCAGCTGTCAGTGTGAAAGTAACAAACTTTTTTTTTTAATATATATATTTTATTTTGACAAATTTATTTTGACAGTTGCTAAAATTTGCCTAATTCAGACCCCTTAGAGAAAGTTTATATTTTTTATAAAAAAAAAACACTGACCAGTGTTCAGTTGGATCTCCAGGCACAGAGACGAGACCTTCTCCAGAGGTGCAGTAGAGCCTCCAGCAATGCTGTCTGCATACAACGTACTGCAGAGCCAGGAGATGCAGCTCTGACCTCTGAGCACGGTGGGCACAGTCACAGCCTTTCTTCAATGCACTAGCTAAACTGGAAATTCTAACAGACATAACAGATATTAGCTATACCGCAGAAGAAGCGTCTCCAGTGAAGGTTGACGGGGGTTATCTGAATCCCTACCTTTCGAGACACTC